CCTGCCCTTCAGCCACATTACCCCCATCAGCTCCCCCCGCTCTGCTTCCGTAGGTGGAGCTCCGTTCTACGCTCGACCTCCCACCTCCCCACTCCGACTTCCCGATCACGATCATTCCCATCCCCTCTCCCTTTACGACATCGCTGCCCGGCAACCTACGCGATCCCCCCTCCGCTCCTTCCCAGATACGCTTTTCCCTGGCGCTTCTCTTCCCCCCATATCCCCAACCATACACCTCAGCTCCCCCAGCATTGATTCCCACGTGCGCCCGCTCGTTCGGCACGCTTTCCCCCCCTCACCGATCGCGCTCATCCCTTCCCGCCACGTCACCCACTCCGTGACCGCGCCTCCCGCCAACCGATCCGTCCGTCCATCCGTTCCTCACTCACGCACTCACTCACTCGCTCACTCAATCAGTCAATCAATCAATCAATCTACCAATCAATCAATCAATCAATCAATTAAATCAGAAAAAGGAATCAAAGAAACATGTGCACAATGTTTATCCCACCAGCAATAAAAAAAAAAATGGAAAAAAAAAAAGTTCCACCTTTTTTATTATGGTTTTTGTGATTTTAAAACTGTTTTTTTCATTTTCTATTTTTTGTTAAATCACAAACAATGTAAATATATATATATATATATATATATATATATATAGGGATAAGATTTTCAAACCCTACAACCCATATTTTTGTTTTTGTTTTCCACTTATTTTCCTAGGGAGTTAAAAATGTCGAGGGTTTGCACCTGACCGCACCCGGTCGCCCCCGCAGCCATGATCCCAACCAGATCCCAACCAGATGCAGTCAGCAGCCCGGCAGTCATGACCGCGTGTGATACATAGTGACAGGCAGATCTAGGATCAGATTGCATTGCAGCAATTTCTCAACACAAAAGGGGCGCTGGTCCCACTCTCAGATTGCATTTCAGCAATTTCTCAACACAAAGGGGAGCTGGTCCCTCTCTCATGTAGTAGCTCCCTACATTGGCTTGTAATTACGAATATGAATGCAGTACCTAAGCTGTCAAAACAGTGATGGGCAGAAATGTCTCAGTATAAAGGGATGCTGGACCCTTTTCCAGCAGGTGCAGCTCCCCACCAATAGATTGGAGCCATCATACACTATAGGTCTGCTTTTATCAGTCCCTACATCAGGTCCAATGCCAATGTTAAAATTACAAAAAAAAACAAACAGAAACAGGGGATAATTTGTGAAATACCCCTATAAGTTGAGATATATGCCGAAATGCGACTAGAGGATGTAGGTTGCCATTTTGGGCCTGATTCTTTGCTTTTTGCCCCTGTCAAGCCCATGTGCAATTTGCAATCTGGAGGGTCATTGGCGCCTGGGCCTGCAGCCTGTTTTCCTGTTTTACCCAGTTTGCCAGAGTTGGCAACTTTGCACAATACCCAGGCCCGTCGGCAAGGCAGTTTGCAGTTTGCCTCCATGTTCTGCAGCTGCATTCACCATCCTCCCTGGTGAGATTCCCCATCTCCAGCTCCTCGTATGTGTCTATCTGTCAGGAGGAACTTGCGAGGAAGCACGTGCGAGCTCTCTCTCTCTCTCTCTCTCTCTCTCTCTCTCTCTCTCTCTCTCTCTCTCTCTCTCTCTCTCTCTCTCTCTCTCCCCGCCCCCTTCCCCCTCAAGCTACCGGAGAGCCGGGCTTCTTACTTCAAGCTACAGAAACTCTCCAACTCGATCTTGTCGACCACAGCTCTAGGTTTGCTCCTACACTGTTATTGCCTGCTTTTGACCATCTTTCAAGCCTGGCAGCCTCTTGGTTGGCATTCTTTCTGTTCTGCACCCCCCCCCTTATGGGTCACTTAGCCAATCCCTTCGTTGACTGATGTACGGGTTGCCAAGCGCGCTCGGTTGTTCTTATTGTGGTGGTGGAATGCCAGGGTTGCTGTCCCCCTGCAACATGACTTGATTCCCGCAGTCCAAAACCGAGCCAAAAAAAAGAAGACCACAGTCCAAAACCGAGCGAAAAACAGAAGACCGCTGTCTGATTTATGGAACTGGAGAGATCCACTCGTATGTCGTGATTCCATAATAATAATTATTAATTAGTCATCTCCAAAACTCATTGGATATCAGTTTGAAATCGATCAAACCATCTATTCATTACCTTGAGCAATCTATGTTTCCCTTTCCGGTATTCTCTTCTCCTCGCAACGCAATGTGATCATAGTCCTTTCATCTTTCGGTTTTTTAACTGCTTCAGTACACGCAGATACTGGGCACTTGCTTTCATTTGCGCTCATGGAGATCCTCGGCCTTTCGCAAATACCAGGATTTCTCGGCCTTTCGGAATTGTGTGTGGAAGCACATATTCCTCCCTCCACAAAGGAGATCCTGGTATTTGTCTTGCATCGACGTTTTCCCGTTATGGACCACGCACTGGTAATACAAAAGTGCGACGGAGAAATTCTCCTCGGAAAATGAAGTGTTTCCCACATATCATCGTCTTGTTGCAAAAGAAAAAAAACGGAAAAACGTAAACGAGAAAGAGAGAAGAAACACATGGCTATTTCGTGCATCGAATGACCGACGAAGGCATGATGACAATGGAGCTACACGCAAAGAAACTGCCATCGAGCAAAATAGAAACTGCAAGAGAGAGAGAGAGAGAGAGAGAGAGAGAGAGAGAGAGAGAGAGAGAGAGAGAGAGAGAGAGCNGAGAGAGAGAGAGAGAGAGAGAGAGAGAGAGAGAGAGAGAGAGAGAGAGAGAGCCGGCTCGCGGGAACGAAAAATCTGAGGGTGAAGTAGAGTAATCTGGACGTTGAGGTACCGGCTCAGTGGCTATGGGCAGATCAATTTTTTTTGATGGCTTGCAAGTAATTCTTGGGAGGGTGAAAAGGCAAGCACGAAGCAAGGGATAGATGTTGAAGCCGTGAATGAATCCGGGAAGGCATCTAAAATCCCGAACAAATTTGAAAGGAGGACAAATCATATCATTCAATCCAATACGTCACTTAATAATGTGTTGGGTAAGTTTCTTAAAAATAGCGCGTCGCGGTAGTTCCACAGCAAAAATATTGGCGGGGCCCAAGTTTCGTTGCAAAAACACATGCAGTATCTTGCGTTGCACCGAGCTCACGACAGCAGCTCTGGAAGACGATTCGATCTCCAGAGGGAAGTCCGAAGACGGTATGCTCGAAGCTACTGGAACAGCAAATCATCGTATATAAACGAAACCGAAAGATGATTCTGGCGGAAGGATAGATAGGTGAAAGAGTAGACATCAAGCCATCATTGTAATGAGAGCGAAACACATAGATCAAGCACACACAGAGAACGAGCAGCCATTTCGTCAAAACGGACATATTATATTTTTTGAACGAAATCAAAACTGACTTCTTTTGCCAAAATCAGGTCGGAATTTTTGGTCATGGGGTCCAGCGTTCCACCCCCCTGCGTTTTGGGAACGCCCCCCTGCGTTTTGGGAACGCCCCCTTGCGTTTTGGGAACGCCGGACCCCCAGGAGCAAAAAATTCCGACCGGATTTTGGCAAAAAAAGTCAGTTTTGATTTCGTTCAAAAAATATAATATGTCCGTTTTGACGAAATGGCTGTTAACGAGAAGAGTTCACCAAGCTGCTCATTGAGGCGAAGGAGGTCAGAAAACATTGTTAACACATCATCATCTTCTGAGAAAAAAAAAAAAAAACAGTAATTCCTGACAGCCAATTCCGAAGAGAGCGGTGATGATGTGATCCCGAGATCGAAAGGCGAAGCTCACACACAAGGACGACTCAATTTCCAGACGGAAGAAGGTATGCTCACAGCTACTGGAACAACAAATCGTATATAATGAAACGGACATGAAGCGAAGGTTGTAATGAGAGCGAAACACATAGATCAAGCGCACACAGAGAACGAGAGAAGAGTTCACCAAGCTCATTGAGGCGAAGGACGTTAGAAAACATTGTTAACACATAATCATCTTCTGAGATAACAGAAAGAAAAAAAAAAGTGTAATTCCTGACAGCCAATTCCGAAGCCAGCGGTGATGATGTGATCTCGAGATCGAAAGGCGAAGCTCACACACTGTGACACAGAAGACGGTTCTCATTGGCTAATCAGGGCTTCAGGGCGCCCTGCAAAGTTCACCACGGGAGATATACACTACAATACTGTCAGGTGAGGGCGGGAATCCCGCATAGACATTTCGACTCCCTCCTTACAAGCGAGAACTGTTTTGCAATAAAGGATCCCTCCACGTTTTCCTCAGAAACCAGAAACGAAAAAAAAAAAGAACTGACGAACGAACTAATTCCAAGACAACGGGGCACTGCCACCTCCTCGTTTACTACCCACGCGTAAAGAAGCATAACTCCTGACGACGAAAGAACACTAAGATGGCTTACTCGGTGGAAGAAGATCTACAAATCTTTGACGGCAGACATTACAAAAGAAAAAAAGTAGAGAGCTTAAGGAACTTGACAGCAGTGTGGCGTAATCTGCCTCGGATCTGCACATTTGCTACGTAGATTAAACAGCTAGTATTAACAGGTCTGTCGAGGACGAATGGCAGTCACACAGGCGGACACGCCGTCAGGCGGAAAACGAAAACGAGTTACTGACGGGCCAGACTACTACATCTGCTGATGTCGCTAACTACCTTTACTCTCTCGCTGCAATGCCAACCACCCACCCTGCCTTCCTCCTCGACAACCACGACTGCTAAAACGGCGCCGCAGTTTGGATCTTCCCGAAAAACTGCACTGTGCATACCCCATAGCCTCGGCCTCTGATTCCGCTAAAGATATCCCAGACGGCACAGCTGCCCACATCTCCGACCCTTCTCACCCGCTATCCTCCACTTGCGAGATGGTGAATGGGGTTCTCAGTTCTGCGGACACTGCCTCCATTGGATGTTGAAGATGAGCTGGAACTTAGTGTCGTGCGAGTCGAGCGCCATCACGGCCTTCTTGCCCTCCACTCTCACCACCGTCTTGATGTTCAAGTTGGGTGCGTTGTTGCACTCGCTCCAGACAGCCATCAGGAAGTCGTCCGTGAACTCGAAGCTGCCGACCTTCGGGCCTTTGATTTTGCGCTCGACCATCGCCGTACCAGTTTGTCCGGAGAAGTAGTAGTGTGTCTCGTAGATGCCCTCGGAGTGCTTTGCGATGTCAGCGAACCCGCGGCCCGTCGCCTGGCCGATGGAGAAGCTCCAGCCATCCGGGTAGACCAGATTGAAAGACATCTGGCAATGCTTCCTCTTGTCGGCGAGCGACCCGTCCGTGGTCGCAACCATCCCGCCGAACATGAAGGTGACCGTCTTGAAGTCGTTTGACAGCACGTAGTTCGTGTTCTGATAATTGCAGCCCGAGCCTGCATAGTTGACATAGCTGATCGTCACCTGCGGCGGAGCCTGCGCACTTGCCTGAACTGCAACAACTACCACAAGCAAGGCCAACAGAAACGTAGAGCGCGCCATTGTCCGATACTTCACCTTCCACCTCCCCCTAAGCGCGCTGTCGTCCGCTGCTTCAGCTTCCACCTCCCCCTGAGCGCGCTGTTGTCCGCTGCTTCAGCTTCCACCTCCCCCGGAGCGCGCTTTTGTTACGTGCGACAGAAAGGCCGTCCTCTGAAGACACGAAAGCAGAGGTAAAACACAACTACTTGCTGCTCCGCTCGACCCCCCACTCGTCGAAGTTTCTCCTAGCAATGTACAAGCAACGAGCACAGATTGCAAATGCGTGCGATCTAAGGTAGACAGTCCAGTCGATGTCCAGTCGAGGCAGCTCGGTTCGCTTTTATACACTCGCCATGGGCTTGAATGGGGTCGTCGTGAGTGACAAGGCTTCGCTTCACTCTGCGGCGGTGACCAGCGAAGTAACAGATCCCCATTTCTCCAGACGGCCGCGACCTTGTCCCATCTGAAAAGGTACAGCAGTGTGACAATGGGCCTCGCTGCACTACTCTCGAAATGTGCAAAACGAGAGTGAATCTTCCGCTAGAACATGGAAAGATACACGGCCATGATTTTTGTCGTTTGTGCATTTCAAGAGTAGTGGCCCAATGAACTTCAAATCGGCCCTTCCCAAATCCGCATGTTTTGCGGATTTGGAGTCGAAGTGTGAGTATGCCCTCAGGCGTTGAAATCGAGAAAATTGGAACCATGACCCCCTGCGCAAGGATGACAAGAATAATGCTTCATGTGTCCTTCGGGGATATCCGTTAAAATTGGAACGATACAGAGAAGATTGCATGGCCCCTGCGCAAGGATGACACGCATAAATCGAGAAATGCTTCATGTTAAATTAAAAAAAAAAAAAGAAGTTCGCCGGTGCGGAATAACCACGTGTCGTTACAAGAGGAGTACGGAAACCTTGTCCTCCGCCGAAAGATTTTGCCAACGAGCCTACCTTCTTCCCCGAACATAACGCACCCTAAAAAGGAATGTATACAAGCTATATTTCCGGCCAGACACAGCCAAAATAAGGGTGCGTTGTGTTCGGGGGACGACGGTAGCTGAGGGCGATGTGATAACGTACCACTGTCGACGTGTTTCTACTTCCGACGCGTTTTTCTTCTTTCGCTAATGTGATAACCTACAGCAATCTAGCCCTGTGCTTCTGTCTACGTGTGCGCTCTGTACATGGGCGACGCTGTCCTTTCCTAGCTCAGGGCACTCTCACACTGCGTACTCAAAATCGTTGTTTCTTGAAAAAATGGGATGCCCGATTTGGGAAAAACAGGGTGCTCTCCTTTCTTTCCGGCCTCTTTTATTGGTGTGGTAATAAGAATGAGCTGAATAAAAAAAAAAAAAAANAGGGTGGACCAGTCACACTTCTTCCCCATTTCGCAACACACAAGGGGCTAGGTCCCACTTGCACGAATTATGCCATCTCGACCGTCGATAGCGAAGATCGACGGCCGCATTCTCCTAATCCGTGCAAGTGGGACCTTGCCCAAGGTTGCGGAGGCCTGGATTTTGGGTCCTCGTGCGGACGCCTGGATTTGGGTCCTCTTCGACTGCTCCAATCACACTGCGAGATCGCATTTCCTCACAGGGAGGAACCGTGGAAAAAACGGCGTGGAAAAGCGTATCTCGGACTCCATCTGACAAAGCAAGGCCCGCCGGAAAGCCTATTTCAGGACGGCGGGGAAGTTTTCCCGGCCCCCAAAGCCTGGAAAACGGTATCTGGAAAAAGCCACCTTTTTTTTTTTTTTTTTTTTTTTTTTTTTAAAGGGGCGACGGCCTTGAGATATTATCATTGACCTGACCGGCCCCAAGCAATTCGTTAGTAGTTGGTTTCACTTGTCAAGTTCCATCATCTGGATTCGAACACAGGTCTGGATGGGTCTCGCTCCACTACTGTCCCCTGTACAAATTTCTGGACAGTTCACGGACAGCAGTAAAAGAGTTCAAAATCTGGAAAGAGCAGCATCCCTGCACTTAGGACCTCACCACACCACTCTCGAATTGCGAAAATATTCGAGGGCTGTCAGGATTTTTCGAGAGGCCGGTTTTCGAGAGAAAATGGCCCTTCGCCACATAGCACACTAGACCAGCCTCTCGAAAATTCATCTGGAACGTGGATGATATCCGCGGCCCGAGAAAACGGCCTGACAACTCTCGAAATGGACGTCGAAGTCGAGCGCGGACGGGCGGTATAACGAAAACTCCAACGCTGCAGGCTAGGCGAAAACATCATTTCGAGAAGGCACTCGAAAAATCCTTTCTGACAGCTCTCGAACAGTTCCGAGCTCTTTTTTCAAGCGATGCTGTGTGGCGGTGCCCGACTCGCGAATTTTCGAGATTCGAGAGTGGTGTGGCGAGGCCCTTACTGTCCGCTGTCCACGTCTCAAATTCGTGAGTTCACTACTGAAGCAGTGATAGAACTACAAGACAGGGCGTGCGAGGCGAGGTAGTGTCGGGGACAGGTCATGCAGACACTCGTAAGCATGATGACTATCGTTTTGGTGATCATTTGTATACGTGCATGCACATGATCTGTTCCAACCGAATCCAAGTCAACCTACCCCTATTGTTCTTACAAAGGGACGGTGTTCCTATGCCTAGTACAAATCAGACGGTTGATCGATGGGCAGAAGGAAAGAGAGGAAAAATATTGGGAAAAGTTATAGATGCCCCCCGCGGCAAACCCTTTGTAGCGATTTCTCCCCAAAATTGACTTGTTGCGTCGGAGGTCCCCCACAAACTTTTCTGTCATTCTTGCACCCCGGTCTGAGGCCGGTAGGGCCTCAGACCGGGCCTGAGGCCGCCTCAGCTTGATTTCGACCCGCAAGCCAACCCAGTTGTACGTGGGCGATATTTGGGTCCGGTTCATTCGAGAGGGCATAGCATACTCGCGTCCGCACTTCCTTCACCTCACCTGCGCCCGATTCAAGAAAGATACATCCAAGAAAGTGCAAGTGTGACGCAGGTCCGAAAATGACTTCCCGCCATTTTTGCATAGCGGGCATTACCCGCCCAGTACCGGGCCGGAGGTACTCGGGCCTTCACCTCACCTGGGCCCGATTCGAGAAAGATACATGCAAGAAAGTGCATCCAAGAAAGTGCAAGTGTGCGGTTGACTTCCCGCCATTTTCCCATTGCGGGCGTTACCGGCCCAGTATGGCCAGAGGTACTTGAGCCTCCACCTCACCTGGGCCCGATTCGAGAAAGATACATCCAAGAAAGTGCAAGTGTGCCGCAGGCGGAATGGAAACTTCGAAAAGAGCCAAGCTTATCAGCTTTCGCGGCCTCAGGCCCGGTTTGAGGCCCTACTGGGGAGCAAGAAATACAAAAAAGTTATTGGGGGACCTCAAATGCAGCAAGTCCATTTTGGGGGAGATATGGATACAAAGGTTTTGCCGCGGGGGGCTTCTATAACTTTTCCCAAAAATATTCCCACACACCAGATGTCAACCGCATGTGGACCATGCCTGAGGAAGATCCACCCCATACCTAGGCGTGTGTACAGAGGTGGTCCGAACGAGAATGTAAACCACCATCTATTCATGCATCTATCCTGACCCGGGTTGGTTCAGAGAGATAACTTCTACAAGCTTAGTGCAAAAATAAACTTTCAGTCGCTATTATATACTCAAAAACATGAGTGTAAAAAAAGGGGTCGGATTCCATACATCAGCAAGGTGCCTATTCCACAAACATCATAATTCCTCGACTCAGTGATTGACAATCCCTCGGGCTTTCGAATGGTTCCAGCAATCGGTCAGTTCTGACAGACGATATACATTCCGCGCTGAAAAGGAAGGGATGGGGGAGAGAAAGATAATTCATACATCAATCAAAGAAAATAAAGGAAAATTCAAGACTGCCACAAACGAGAATGGTCAAAACCAGAAATCAAAATTACACAGAAGATGCGAAGAGATAACCCCACTTTAACACCTCCCTCTCTCTTTCTCTCTCTCTCTCTCTCTCTCTCTCTCTCTCTCTCTCTCTCTCTCTCTCTCTCTCTCTCTGTGTGTGTGTGTGTGTGTGTGTGTGTCTCAGTTCCCACGATGCGGGCAGTCCGTCACCTTGCACCTATGAACAATCCAAAGTTGTCATCCGCTTAGCCCGAGTATATAAGTCAGGTTCGCCCATGTGCCATAGTCCTTCACGGCCACACGTCAACCCCACATACCCAGCACCAGCTCGTTGGATCGTCCAACTCCCTACTCACTGTTCTATTCTCCACTCGTTAGCAGATCCTCTCGACCACTCTAACTCCCAAGTGTAGATTAGAGAGCAAATTAGTTATGCTTGCGAAATATATGGTATTCGGTATTTGCCCGAGACAATTCTAATTATGCTTGAAGTAGGAAGGAGAGGGAAGGAGGAAGTGCCAATGGGTGCATGACGGGCTTGCGGTGCAGGGGCCGTAGCCGCTCTCCACGCATCAATTCGGTCATGCACCTGCTATGTCAATGAAATAGACATGAAATAGGCACAAAGTTTTGCGTGAAAAAAAAGATCAAGAAAGAGAGGATTACAGTTACACTCGTGCTTGCCAAGAAGGAGCAAGAAGAGGTTACCGCGCGATAATCGCTCGTAATCCCTCGTATTCTCTCGCCCCTAATTCCTAAATCTATTAAAATCCTGATTCCCGTAATCCCTCGTATTTCAAACTTCAAAAAAAAAGAAAAAAAGATTTATCTCGCGCGATAATCGCGCCAAAGTTTCCCTCCCCACTTTTTACAGAACAAGAAAGAAGCTATGACAAGTTGACAACCATTATTTCCAAGACCGTCAAGGCGCGATCAATTACCAACCGCCGTGGGACCACTCTGCTCTCTCCTCTTTCCTTTACCTCTTCATGTCTTACTTTCTTCTTCTTTGTGTGCAGGGCATGGAGTATGCAACCTGGAGCTTGCATAAGATTGGAACCCCCTAGGCATCACATAGGGGGCGAACTACTTTCTGTAAACGTGCGACTTTTTGCGCGACTGTATTTCGGGGGTTGATCAGAAGGGGCCCGCCCAATTGCATGAATGCCCCCGTCTTGAGGACCAAAGATAAGCTTGCCATCAATACTCGATTACTATCCCCCTGTTATTGTTGCACTAGCGACGATCATTGCTTTTCCAGTGGCGATGGTAGTCTCAATACAGGTGGCAGGGGCGGCGGTGGCAATTGAGGAACCGGCGGGATAAAGAGAGCCACTAGCCGCACTCCGGTAGGGATACTTGCGTACCGCACCAGCGGATAGACATGTGGAAAGCGCCGATTGCGATTCGGAAGGGAAACGAGATAGTCGGGGTAAAGGGTACACA